ACACTTGTTGGCAACAGCTCGCAAGCTAGTTGCCTCTCAAGAAATTCTGCTATGGATGACTCCGAGGTCCCGGGTCCTCATGTCTTGACATGGGTCCAAAACTGGGGACACGACCTTCCAAACCCACAGCCTCCCGTCGAACGGTGTGCAGGTTCATGCACAGGAAGACCCCCTGGGCCCCAACCAATCGACTGCGTATATGTCCTTTCTTTCAGGAGAACAAGCTGGGAGGTCTACATAATAAATAAATATGAAATCCCAATTGATTGATTATATATATACACATAATTATGTATGTATATATACATAATATATTTTTTAATATAAGTGGTTGATTTTTCGTTCCTAATTGTTATTATATAATACATACCCATGCCCATCTCACTTACTCCAAGATCATCCCATTGCTCCTGCTGATCGAAGCGCTGCATGATGTCCCGGTGGAGCCGGTTCAGCATCTCTTCCAGCGAGGGCGAGGCGCCTGGAGACGGACGCGGTTCTCTGGAGATGGATGGAGATGGATCGTCATGGTCAACAGCCTAGCCCCTTGAAGTCCGAAGACCATCTTTGGCCCCACCGAAGTAAAGGACATCGTCTCTTTTTCACTGATATAGCCTAAAGACACATGTATCTAGATGTTAAATGAGATTAATCTATAGTTTAATGTATTTTAATAGTCCTTGCATGTCTTTGCCTCCCAGGGAATAGACTTCCTCTGTGACTTACCGTCAGCTAAGTCTACCCGTGACATCCCGTGCGACTCCACCGAATCTCTACAATGACATCAGGTATGCTGTTGGCTCTCAGTCGGGGTGGCCCGAGCGAAGTCCAAGCTGCAAGCGTGTGCAGTATACCGAATTGCCTCTCACCTTACCTATTTCTGTCCACGGCTCCAGGGTCAGGGCGGGTTTGTGTGAATGAAGCTACACTCCAACTCACTACATGGAAGTGGAAACAAAGCTCTGGCAAGAGCAATGTTCCTCTACATCATCTTCTTGTCAGAGAAGATGCCTGTAAGGACTGTAAGGATGATCATCTTCTCATCAAACTACAAATTCTTTGCCACATCAGCAAACTTCGGAACTCTCTCCTTTTCCATTCGTTACCTCCACATGTCACCCATCCTTAACCACTGCTTCACTAACAACTCCCCACTCTCTCTCTCTCTCACACTCTCCGTCGGCTCCCGGAGCCCCCCTTCGCGCCGAACAGGTCTCCGCGCCGGCATGGTCACTGCTTCCTGCTTTCAAAAGCATCCCTGGATTCGCCGACATCGTCTCCCTTGGGGGCTGTGGCTCCTGAGAGCGGGATACCGCCGCAGTTGCTGAACTCAAGCGTTTTGGGAGGTGAGCCATCAATTGAAGAGCTGTCAAAGAAAGACAGTTCCGTTCGTCTGAGGAATTGCAACAAATACAAGTTGATCCTGACATTGTCCAGAAACCTGATGTTGAATGAACTGCCCCCATCTTCATGCAATGCACCCAAAACAACATCGTCCCAAAGTATCGTTGGGAGTCCCAAGTGACACTTGTTGTGCATATACATAAATTACTTGGATGTACCTTGATGTGAGTCCTGCATGCTTGTCGGAGTGGAGGCACATTATTTTCCACAATGGCGGGTGGGGGTGATTGACAACTGAGGCAAGTATATGGATTGGGGGTGAAGCGGACCTTGGCATCGCGGCAGCACCGCACCAGCAAAGCCACAAAGTGCAGTTCAATCCCATGTCATCCGCAACTGGCTCCCTCAGTTTCCTCGGAAAATAGAAATCAACCGAACTGTCCCCCTATTCTTGTTTGGTGGGTGCCCCCAATTTGCCCAAAAGGGTTTTACAGGTGATCCACTTTTGGTAAAGCAACCAAACACCACAACACACCTTCTGGCAGGTCATTGGAGCCCTAGCGTTTGGGAAAACAACATCTGGACAAGCCGGTGGAGAAGGATCATTCCCCAGGTCACATGGCGTGGAAATCACTTTGGATGGCATCAGGGCGAACCAAAGCCTGTGGTGAGCGGTCATGTCCAAGATTGCCGAATTCATGGCATGGCGATGCTCCGAATTCATCCCACGTCCAGGACATCTCATCAAGGAGTACATATCAGCTGGGTCACCTGAGCGTTTTTCATAAAGAGTACAACACTAGACCAAAAACATCCAAAAACCAATATGTACCCAAACTTTTCCATGGGACTGCCATATATGCCGATCAATTGGGGTGGTGCCAGGGGGGTCAATGGGGCGGCATATATTCCAGTCCCATTAGTCGTGTCTGGGATAGATACACGCTCTGACTGAGAGTCTTACACCTTGACACATCGACCTGTATGACCTGTATCGGCCACCGGGTCAGCGGTGGAAGTAGACCCTGCACGGCTTTTCTTGGGCCAAACAGGGCACCTATTTTAGAACACATGATCCTGGCTGGCCATTCTTTTAAGAAAAGAAGGGCTCAAGTCTTCCAGCCCAGTTTGGCATGTGAAAGCTAGATATACCAAAAAAAACAGCGAATCCAGGAAGCCGGGAACACACGAAGACAGACTCGCATAGATTCCCCGGTTGATCCAGTTTCGAGGACTCGCAGCTTCGGGGCTGTTTCGGGAACATCACCCGATCCGCACCGAAGTCGGCCCCCCAAAACACCCGTTGCTGCAAGGCGAGGTGGGTCTCAGGTCGCTACACGCCCCAGCTGTGGTCGATGTGGATGGCATGACCAGTTTCCGAAAACCCACCAGGTGGTGGCCATCCACTTCATGATTTCAGGGGCGTGTAGCTCTCTGGAGAGCGGCCAAGTGCAGGTGGGTTGACCAGCTTCATCACAAAGAGCTCAAGGCGATCCAAGGGGAAGTCATATGAGATCATGCAATTGGATGGCCCCTGCCGTTCCCATGACCATCTCCGAAGACCCCTGCCGTTCGCATGGCCATCCACATCCACCACCTCCAACGACCGATCGACCGATCGACCCGAAGCTCTGGGCCAGCGAAGCGACCGAAAACACGCACCCGACCTGGCCCACTGAGACCCCGAGCCAGTTCCATACTTCGGTGTTCCGGCGGGACCTGCTGCCGGCGGAGTTCAAGCGGTGTTCGAGCGGGTGGTTTGGGGGGTCAATGTAGGCAATGTATTCATGTATATAACTCAATGTAATATTCCATATTATTGCATACATGGAGTGTCTGGGATATGTGTTTCCGCGAGGCTGAGTTTCAAAAGCCCGTTTCTGCTTACCAGACGACAGCGAAGGCCGCGGCAGGGCACAAACAGCAGCATGCATTTGCTGATTTTTGTCCTGCGCCACTTCAACAAAGAGACATCGCAAACCCAGCATATGGTGCATTGACGGACCAAATCAAGGCCTACCATCGTTCTATCTTGGTAGGAGATCTGCACAAGTCCTGGATTCGGGGAATCAACACACTCATCAAATTGGCCAAACATCCATGGCTGCACTACACAGCACTACGTACGGTACCTACGGTTTTCACATGGATCTTTGTCGCACGACCAGCGCTGCAAGCGCACCAAGGGAAAAGGGCGCAAATCGTCGATCTGACATGATCGACGGCATGGTGGGGGACCCTCGGCTCCACCTGTAAGACCCTTCAGAAGACCCTCAAGGAGGCAAACGTGTGGGAGAGAACGGATGAGGATCAGCAGTCGGATGGGGATCTGGAAGAGCAATCAGGAACCCTTCAACCTTGGCACCTTTGGCGTGCCAAGCTGCACGCAACCTTGACGCAAAAGGGACGACGGGATGATCCGGGGCCCTCCAAGACGGTGAACATATTTGTTCTCTGCTTTTCCTCTTTGTCGCCTTTTGTCCTTTCGTTCGCTTGGCCGCTTGGCATTGAGGGTTGTAATGATTTCTTCGTCTCAGCACTTCTTGGATGAGCGGCCTCGGCAGCTGGACTGATAGGGATGAACTCCATCTTGGCCAACAAGAGTGCCTCACCATTGTTTGGATTTGCTAATTAAAGACCAACAACATAGAACATACCACAAGGGCCAAAAGGGGATATTCGGGGATATTCACCATAGGAAAAGCTAACCTTAAGCAAAATCCCCTATTGGCATTGAGGCTACCAGCAAGGACCTTCGGCCGAAGCACTATATGGTGGCGGTGATCAGTCCAATGGACCTTGGGGGGATCACGACCCGGTATTCCAGGTGCCCAGGACGGTGGGCCAGGGCATGGCTCGGACTACGGATTGCTCCGTCTCCTGTCCGAATGGGAAGCGTGGGAAAGCATTACGATCTCAATATTCTCAATGCCCTGGTCACTCCTGTTCTCAGCGATCGCGGATCAGGCCTGTGAGGGTTTCTCAGCGGCTCAAAGAGATGGCTGCAAGTCAAAACGTGGGCCTACCTGGGAGGTCAAGCCACATGGCTCCAGGTTTTGACCCATCCCCAGATGCCAACAACAGGATGGTCATTGCGCAACCGTCAACAAGATGCAACCAACACATCTTCAACAGGAGTTGACGCGCCAAGGTGCCCGTTACCGTGAGATTGCTCCTTTGGCAGTGGACAGGGTGCAGCTCTTGTTGGATGACGGGACCCATTTCACACATGAGGCAAGCAAAGTGGCAAAGACCAGTTCAAAGCACCAGCCAGGCAGCGCAAAGCACCAGCCTTTGAGGATCTCAAGACCGTGCAAAATGATAGAGGGCACTGTTGTGAAGTTCGAGGCTAGGCTTTGTTTTGCAGATTTGAGCTAAATGGTGCAAGATGAGGGTAGCGCAACAAGACTCCTATGACCATTTGGTGAGCCTTCAGACTCACCAATGTGAAGAGCATGTCCGCATGCGGAGCCCCGAACAAGAAGGAGGTGGACAGCTGCCGTTCAGCAGCCGACCTCCTGGCTGCCGAGGGCAGAAGCACCATGAACCACCGATATAATCCCCCATATCAGGTGCTCAAGCCCTCCCCATCCTAGCCAGGGTAGGCCGACGGGGATCTATATAATTGAGTTGAAGAACAACTATTTGGCTTGCTTCACAAGTGCCTATAGGCTGCCCAAGCGCAAAACAGTCGCATGGCTTGGTACCAGCATCTTCCGGCCTTCACGATCCTTCACTGCTTCTGCTTGAAGCAGCCCATCCTGCGGCAACTGTGGACTCCTCCCAACTCATTAGCTGGATCAGGTCACGCAACTGGCCCAACTGACTCCCCAACTTCTCCTCAGTGTGAAGCCAAGCGATCTGCATCAGTTGATTCAGGCGTGTTGGCAACCTTATCCTCCAGAATTGGTCCTGGGTGATGACTCGACTCAACACCATCAGAACGACGCAAACGACGCTGTGACTGTACTGCGCCCTATGTGACGTTTTCTGCGCGCCTTGTACTTGCTATGTGGCTTCCTGCTTCAAGGGGTTGTCATCTGATTTGTTCTTGTCTCCGGTCTTGGGCGCGCAGTTCATTCCCTCATCTTCGCATATTGGCTGTCATGGTCGATGCATTGGCCGTTGCCGTGCATGCCACTGAAGCCTCCGGCTCAGAAACCAACAGAACCAGCACGCTCCTGCAAACCTCTGCGACCGTTTTCAGAGTAGCCTGGAATGCGACCGGCCTCAATGCTCAATTCAATTTGGTTAGCTTGGGGTGGTTGAAAAGGGGTCAATGTAGATCGATATTCCGTGCATGGAGTGCCTTGAGTATAGATAGCAAATCATTCTTTGTGTCAGCCGTTAGCATGATCATTCTTCCCTTGACCTAGGGACCTAGGGCCTCCAACAGGCTTGGAACGCCAAGACTGATTCTTTAACATGAACAAAATCCGTGGTGCGGCCATCAATGACCCAAGCAAACTCCGAAGCATCCCTCTTTTGGAGGATGCATATTCCACGCATACTTTCCATACCCCAGTCCATGAAAACGATTCAGACCTTACACTTACACTTACACCCCAACAACCTCTATATAAATGCAAGTCTCAGAATGGGACGTAAAATATGCCTACATCCCATGGGCCGTGTCTGGCATAGAAGTAATGACTTTCTCAAGCTCGGTGACATCTCAACCACATATGACTTGCACTCGAGAGCGGAAAACAACTAGTTGGACGAAATCACCCGCAAACTGGTGAGCCATTGTGGGGTCTCTGACGCTCCAAAACTCAAAGCCCTATATGTATACTATTATGTGTACTATTAATACCTGCATAGTTATCATTAAGGTAAAATGAAGGCGCGTTTTTTGGGGTCGAGTTCATTTTCTCAACGCCAGCCACCGACCTTCGGCTCAGCCGACCGTGGGTGGAGACCGAGGATGTTGGATGACCGTTCTCCGAGGACGTTCTCCCCATGGTGAGGAAGCCCAGTCCCTTGCGATTTCCGGGGAATGCACTGGGAAGCTGAATTGGTTGGAGCAGAAAGCCACATGGCGTATCAAAACAGGTCTTGACCTCCCAGTTCGACCCCCTGGTTTGGTGGGACAAATGGGAAAACAAACCATGTCTATTTATTGGTGAGGAGATTTCCCTGCTAAAGTACCTCCCCCTACAGGTCCATTCCTCTTTTGACTGGGTCCGATCATGCAAAAGCAATACTCAATGAGGTCGGTCGGACCAGGTTTTAACTGGGTCCAACTGGACTTGTAGGCTGCCCAGCTGCCTCTTCCCCACTTCCCCGCTGCCTCGTCCCACTTGCTGGGTGGCATCGCCGGCGGTCTCACTCCACCACGGCCGACACTGGTGAACCCCCGAAAGAAGCGAGGTCCGAGTCACGTGAAGATCGACGGGTCTGTGGATTCAACGGGTCTGGGCGAACAAAATGCACACTCGGAACTCTTCTTATTAAAATTGATTAAACTATCGCGCTGGGCCCGAAGAGCACACAAACAACATAGGGGGCAGCTGAAATCGAGACCTACCTGCAAGCGTCCTAGTTACTTGGTGGCCGGGATTTTTGAGACACCCCCACCCTTCCAAATCACGTTGAAACATTCCATGTGTATATTCTAAGTCAAGTTCAAGAGACTCAAAAGCATGGCCAAAATACTCCTTCTTAGGTTTGTGTTTTTTTTGCTCGCCGGAAAAAAGCTGAGCCAAAAAACGGCCAATGGCGGAAGGAGGCGCCGGTCCGCCAAAGAAAGAGCGAGAGAGAAGACAAACAGACCGAGCATCAAAACGATGTATGATGATGTATGCAATGTTCAGAATATCGATAAGTTCCTTGCACTTGAGAGAGGAGGGGGTGAACGAAAGGTAGCAGGCAATCACAAGTAACCCTGGTAGAAGTCCATGACGGCGTGAACCGGCGCAGGGGGGATTTGATCCGCGGGGGGGCCCCCCCCCCCGATGAACAGAATCAACTCTTACAGGACCAAACTCAATGCACAATCCCAACTCCTGATTGTAATACATTTTTGCTAAAGCAAGGAGAACTCAGGTAGCTCGAGCTACCTTTCGTGATTAAGAAAACCTGGAAGCGGACATGGTAAACTGCTGGCACGTCATGTCTTTCAGGGGGCATGTCTATATATCGTGTTATGTACTTCTTTTCAATTTGTTTCATTCTATGTCCCATGGACTCCATGTTTGCGAAGGGCGTCGCTGCATGCATTTTGTCTTTGGGTAATGACATGGCATGACTCATAATTACCCTAGGGCTCCAACTACCTCCTGAGAAGATGGTTGGGGTGGGTTTGGGGGGTCCACTTTGCCTCTCCCCATTGCTTCAGCTGCGCCATGTGGGCTTTCGCTTCAGCCGACCTGAGCTGCGAGCCTGGTCGGCACGACCGCCAGCACAAGCAGTGCCACGTGTCATGTTTATAGTGAAGGAAGTGGCAAGGCTTACATTGAGTTCTTTTTCTCAATTTGGTCCAATAAGGGTCACATAATATGGTCAATTAGTTTAGTTTCTCCTTCTCCTTCGATTTCTCAGGGGCATGTCTTTGGTTCAAATTGGTTCATTTCGTTCGCGTTCACCCTTTTTCTGCCGGATCTCCTGCAGTGCATGTCCCGTGTGCTCTGAGGGTGGTGACATCTTCAACTAACGGGGATCAGTCGACCCGACTCATCCAAATCAACTTGACCCTCCCGGTCACAATCCAGGGGACCTCTCCCTGAAACAATCATGGAAGTGGAACACAGGCCCCCCAAAAGACCAATTTTCAATAATTTTCATCTACGTTTGGGGGGTTTGCTCAGCTTCCATGATTGTTTGAGGGAGGGTGCATTTACCCCATGGATGGCCCATCCATGTAGGTACACTCTGACGAACACATCACATGGAAGTGGATATAAGTGGATGGCATGGTCCCGGTTCCAGACAACTTTCCTTTAGGAACAGGTGACCTCCACGTAACCATGTGATGTGTTCGTGAGGCTGTCTTCCATGTACTTCTTCCAGTCCCAGTGCCGGGCGCTGAGCTCCACAGAGCCGATCGGAAGCGCGGCCGATCGGAAGGACTGAAGGGACGATCCGACGCCACAACGAGTCATAGCCGGTGAAGAATGGTAGGGTTTGTTGAAAAGGCATTCGATAGAAACTCAATCACTGGGATGCCATTCCAGTCAAATGAGTCCTGGGATGCCACTGAGTCAAATGAGTCATTCAAATACAAATCAGTGAAACGAGTGGATGTGAGTGGCCATTCTCGCTCAAATGCCAAATGCCACAGAATCAAGTGCAAATACGTTCTTCCACCAGCAGCTAAGCCTCCAGGGGCTGTCACAGCTCAATATTTCTCTCATGGATGCTACGACTCACAAAGGTGACTTGGCTTCGCTGAGCATCAATGGTGCTCAAAAACAGGGCGGGGGTTCTAGTCACTCAAGGATCCATTTTGGGGTTCCCTTCCCTGGGCTTGCTACGAGCCTACTCAGCCAGCTACAGTAACTCAAGCACGGGTAGCTTCCAGACAGGGCTTCCGACCGCCTCCACAGCGCCAGCAGCGCGTCCGCACCCGCGCGGCGCCATGCGCCATGTGCTCGCACGACTGGCGCCATCCGGTCGTGCGACCAGGTTTGGACGCAGTAAACATCCAAAGAGGTTCCTGTCAAACGGTTCTCTAGATCCAAGCCGTGTTGCTTCCTTCAAAAGAAACTGCAGCCCGGGCCCGAAGCATCACTTGTTTGTTGGGGGTCATCAGTCATCATGATACCTTGCGCCTCCTTGTTTCCACTTTGGAGATCTAAGGTGCTCAGGCATTCACTTGGGTGCTAAAAGATTTAAAAGTATTCAACTCCATGACCTTCAGGGTTGGCGGTTTTGAGCTTTAAACAAACGCAGGGTCTACACACTCCCGCTCAGTACACATGGAAACGGATGGCATGGCCACTGTGACGAGCATGTTTCTTTACAAACAGGTGGTGAACTCCACTTCCATGTAAGGGCACGCTCCCTGAAACAATCTATAGAACAATATAGAACAGTTGGCATTAGTTCACCCCTTGGTTTCGACCACTTGCCTTTACAAAACAGCCCATGTTCCACAATAAGGTGAGTCAAAGGGTAGGGCTTGAGGACCTCTTTGTCTGGCGCATGCAGCATCATGAAACCCCTCATGGTCCACCGAAGCCGCCGAACGCGGACTTGGCCCGTCGAAGGCGGTCGGCGTCCATGCAGACTTGGCGAGCCAAACGTCGGCGGAAGACGGCAATGCGATATGCCAGGGGACCAATCGATGCAAATCTAAGGATCTGCAAAGTTCCCGGAAAATGGTGCTGGAGCTGCTGGGGTGATTGATCAAATATGCAAATTTATTATGAAGACAATGTGTTATTTCAAAACTAAATTCTATAGACTATATATAGATTCTATTTCTAGAACCGCCGAGATATGTTTATATGTCAGCTGCTACATGTTCAGTGCCAACCATGGCAGTCCTACGGACTCTCGCCATCTCCCAAACGTCCATTGGAGGTCCAGCAGCCCCTACCTGTGTGGTCCAAATCCCCGAAAGCACTGTGGCCCAGTTAACCAGGAGTCACATGGAGTTGGGTGGTGTGAAACGTCCCGTCCAGGGGCTGTGGATGTGACAGGGGCACCCCTGGCCCTAACCTCCATGATCGCATCCGGTCTTGTGACTGCAGGAAGCCTTTATGTTTTTTTCGGGGGGGGGCGTGGCCCAGCTTCATCTTGCCAGCTTCTTGGCGCCAACACCCTCGACCCCTCGGACCAGGGGACTCTTTAAGATTCGAACCCCCGAATAAAGTCCCACAAACAAACTACATGAAACTACCCTCCCTCCATCAATCATGGAAGTAGATCACCCCTTGTTGGTAGAGGAAAGTCGTCTTCCCAGGGGCCATTTGCTACTATTGTTGGAGGCGGGGTACGCATCAAGAAAAAGAACCTGAACCAAGCCGCTTGGAAGTTTGACCACCAACCACCCACATCAGCCTTCGAGGTCTTTTTCTGGAAGTGCCAAAGTCCAAACCGCTACAGCATCGATTCCGGCTACTTGGAAACACAGATTCTCGCAAGTGCTCTAGAAGGGGATGATGTCAATATATATAGACACATGCATACACAAAATCATCAACCTCAACAAGGCCAAATGCTCCATAGTGACGGACACATACTTAGAACCCCATGATGTTTTTTCAAAGTGATGAAATTTCCACACTAAGAACCCTTTGGCCCTGTGAATGCTTAGAACTTAGAACCATCCAACAATTGCAGGCCAAGAATACTTTGAACCTCCAAAATAATACCTGGTTCATAAGTATGAGTCCGTCACTTTTTTGCATATATAATGCAGGCAGGAGTATCAGCATCACTGCCTATCAGCACCACTACCGGCCGAACCCGTTCCAGCCGAAATGCCTTTCACGATTTATGTGGTTCCAAGTGCCACACTAAGAACCCCCTTCCATTGCAGGCACTGTTCCAACTGCTCAGGGTTCTAAGCATGCCTCTCCAACTGCTGGAGGTTCTAAGTATGGTACGCTTAGAACCATTTGTGCAGGCGTTTATATTTGTCGATTTGTCACAATTATTTTTTCAACAAAGGTTGTAAGTATGAGTCCGGCACTATAGATTCCCACCATGTTGCTGAAAACACCTGACCATGAACCAACACGCCAACACGCCGCGCGAAAAACGCGAACGATCGGTGGCAATCGCCTGGGCGGTGTTTCGCCGCGTGCCCAAGACAGGGAAGTGAAGTCTGCCGTGCCGGGTCCGGTGCGGTTCCGATGGGGGAAAAAAGCCATCTCCCCTGCTGTCCACAGGTTTGCCACAAGGGTTTTAGCCTGTAGTGGTTTAGTAAGAAATCCCTTCTAAACCCAAGGACTAAGGGTCTAAGAGTAGGCCTTTTCAAACAGTCAAGCCAGTGTGGCACTCTTGGAAGCATGCTAAGGCATCGGTATGGGTCAATCCTCAAATCGATCATAACCCACCTCCCGTCCCTCTCTCTCTCTCTCGGCATCACCTGGTAGACATTTCTCAACTTATAGACCCTCCAAACAAAGACCCACCCAGTTTCGCAAGCACCCAGACCATCCATGTACGGCATGTATTTACATGAATTTACCTACATTGGGGTGGTGAAAATGGGGTCCACGTAGGCACAAAGAAAGTCCCATGGACGGTCTGGGTGATCTTTCTGTAACCCATCCATCCGGTGAATCACCGCTCAACCTGTGTTTTTCCCAGAGACCCTCTGCACACATCTCTGTACAAACATGTACAAACCATGAGACCTCCTTCTGCAAGAAGAATCAGCTCTGAAGAAGGCCATCACTTGCAAAGGCCATCAGAACACAAGCTCTCTCTGTCTCTCTCTCTCTCTCTCTCTCTACATTCCCTGGAAGAGCACGATGATGGCATGCCACAGATGGCACGGGCCAAAAAAAACCGTGAAAGAGGACCACCTCCGGTGTTGGACCAATTGAAATCGGTGAAGAATCGAACATCGAACCGAACCTGAAAACGACGGACATCCACGGCCGGGTGAAGAAACACATCTTCTAGTCCCTATAGTGGCGTCTTCTTGTTCGTAAGGCCAGGCGCCCGCGTTCGTGGCGACCGATCGCTCCGTTCGTAGCGATGCCAGCCCCACTCACCCTGATTCTTCGCTTTGAGATTCTCAAGCTCTTAATGTATGGCATGCTTACTCTGACCATTTAGTTAGGTGCAGTGTATGTTACAAGTCTAACAATGCAACATACATTCCAACCCCATCAAGTGCCAAGTCACCTTCCAATCCTCACGTATACTTTCAAACTTCCCATCCAATCAGGGGGTTCATCTTCAACTCATCCCGGATCATCCTTCAAGTTCAGTGGTGTACCGCTGCGGGGGCCGCAAGGGCGGCCTGAGCAGTTCGTAGCCGCTGAACTTCTCCAGCAGCGCCTTTCGTTCATGCGGTCACTGCAGGGGGGGTTGCAGGGTTGATGACGAACTGACGAAATCACTTGGGTTTTTCTCCTATGGTCAGTCACATCTGACCGTGGAGGATGACGGTCAATGATGCCTTTCCCAAAACATGTGATAACTTTTTACCGACTGTTGCTGGTAATGGGCTATATACATCCTAGAAATGAAAAACAAGGTCCTCCAGGCTCCCGTGGTTGGAGCTGGGACTGGTCAATGGATAAGCAGGGAACACACGCAGACTACCTGGCGGTTGCAGAGTTTGGAGCCAAAGTGATGTACATATATATATATATATAGATGGTGGATCGAGTTGCACTTTAGATTACTAGGCTGAAACGCTTGTTGGGTGAGAAGAATAATGGAACTGCAACTTACAGCACGTGTTCTCAGCTCCCGCCAATGGCTCAAGAAGGTGGGACATTAGCATCTACGGCAAACCTGGTGAACATGAAAAGCTACAACTAACAAAGAAATCATGGCTCTTGACTCTTGAGCAAAAGAACACGTGACCACCCAATGGATTACCCCAATGGATGCACGCAACAAACGCGAGTCTCCAGCCGGCTTCCCGTTTCGGCCTCTGCGCTGAGGCTCGCGTCCACCTTACACCTGCGGCGCCGCTCGGCACGGGGCGCCAAGCCGACGCAGCGGAGCGGCCGGGGGCGGGCGACTCGGCGTAGACCGTCCAAGGCGTGAAAGGAAGCGACTCGGAGTAGACCGCCCAAGTGTTTAACAGTGCACGGATCTGCGATCTGCATGGCACACACACCTTGACTCTGACTTACTAAGATTAGATGGAAGTGGCTGTCATGGCCCTGAAAGGAAACGATGACTTTCCTTTCTGGGGTGAACTCCACTTCCCCTATATAGTGAGCTTCGTTGCACACCGTGCGCACCCAAGTTCGGCGCATCTCACTGAGTTGGCCCGCTTCCGCGGGACATCCAGGGCTTTTCCCAATCCAGGACACCCTCAAGAATGAGGCGACAGATCCGGCGTGAAGAACATGGGTGTCGTAGCTGAGCTCAAACAGTGAAACCTCCCAGATCGATTTGCTGGGAAGCCTGGAAGGTTCAGAACACTTGTTTCTTTTTCCCTCATGACCCGTCTACCATCGTCTACCCTTTGGTGAGCAAGACCAATCGCTCAACACAACGGTCACCCCGGTCCTCAAACCCCCTGAACCCACCCGAAGGGACCAGCGAGTGGTGGCAAACGGTTTTGGGCCACCGGTTTGGGTCCGATCAAGCAGTGTACCAGCATGAGGTCAGTTGTATTTATATAATATATTTATATGAGAACAAATGGACCCTGGGATACCTATGGGATCCTATGGGATAGTCTATAAACTACAGTATATGCTGCGGCTATAGGGTTCTTCAACCTCGGTAGTTCAAGCATGGACGCCACGAAGCTCTCGATGGAGCTTTGCGTCGAATCCTTGTTCTGACAAACCGCCACAGAAGTGCGAACCCCCCAAGAGGTGTCGTTTTAATAGCCCATTAGAGCCTCTTAGAGGTGCCATGGGATGTCTACCAATAATAGGGTTCTTTTCTTTTATGGATTTTATGTTTTTGCTTTTTGTGTCTTTTTATTGCCGTGTCACTGTTTAAAGTTCCAGGCTTCGGGAGGCATGTTCGCGTCCAGCGGAGGCGCAGCTGGGATTCGTCCGGGACGATTGGGATGACCATGTAGCTGTTACATGAGAGGCTAGAAACTGCATTCAAGAACCTCAATGCTGTAACGAACATTAACGAACTAACGTTCAAACACCAAACAATAAAAATACAAACCTAATGATTCTTGCGGGGGCTTCATGTCAGGCAGTTCCTCTTTGGACCAAACACTCACCCCCACCAGCCCCTTCAGTTCAGCAACTCCACTTCAGTTGAAACGACCGGTTTCAACGCCCGGAAGTCTCCCTCTTCCACGGTCCCAGTGGCTTTGTCCCACCGAGGTCCTTCCCACTCCGAGCTCCCCGAGCTTCAGGAACCAGCTGCGATGAGCTTTGGGCCCACACACCTGAGGAGTGGCCGAAAGGAACGAGGGATCCGAGGTTCCTCCAACCTGGGAGGAAGATCGGATCGTACGATTTCAGGCGCGGAGGCCCTGACGGTTCACATGGACCCGTGCCTGACCATCAAACGAGGTGCCATGGGGTATCATGGGGTGCCAATTTAACCACCTCTGCTGGGGGACATATAGACATACAAACAGATGTTACACTTCCCTAGGCCTCCAAGTAACTCCTCAGAAGGTATGACTGGACCCTCCAAACCCACCCCAAGCATCTTCTCAGAAGGGACTTGGAGGCCTAGGGCTTTACAATGTCAAGGAGGTTGTCGAGCACGTTCGTAAACCGCACAACACTAATCTCCATGTTTATGACTTTTGACATGCATCATGCATTGGACTCGTGAAATGGTGGAGCATCCTCGGACTGAGGTTTCAGCCAGTTAGCCAACATTTCCAACCCAAATGTCATGTGGCAGGGTGTTTTCGAAAACGCTCTAAACAATCTCAGTTTGTAGAGCGCAAACTGAGAATGCTTTGCTGAATGGTAAGTGGTGCCACAAGTGCTGAGACACTCAACAAAAGTGAAGATCGGAAGCAAGCTCTGAAGCAACATCAGCCTCGTAGATGCCACACCACAAATCAACCCCCCCCGAAGCTACTCCCTTATCTCTTCGGAACTGAACATCACGATTCACGATTGAACCTTGGTCCACATTTATTTAAAAAAACAAAAAACTCAAAATATATCAACATATCAAAATCGTTATAGTTTGCATACTATTGCAATGTACTAATGCCCAAACACACCCAGAAACAAATCAACCACACCCAACCGTCTTCGTGCGCCCGAGTTCCTCTCCCTGACCCCCGGAGTGTCCGGGCATCCGTGAGCTTCGCGGAGGCCAAGTGCGAGGAGGCATGGCGCATCCTGAGCTGCTCGGCTGGCTGGCGAGGCCAGGGAGGGTGGCTGGCTGGATCAGGCTGGATCGTGAGCACAGTAGTTTCAGAGGTTCGATGGCACTGGCACATAAGAGGTGTCCTTTTTTTTTGGGGTATGGGGCTCCATATGATACCACCGACATTGGGGATTGTGCCATCTACTCTGAAACCAGTGTACTTACTTGAACATCCTCACTTCCAGTCATCTCAAAATTAGTAGGGGCATGTGGGGGCCAAGGGCAAACACGGTCGGAGTCCAATTCCATACTTGGCGGAGGACCCTATCATATACGCACCTGGACGAAACATCGACTCCCGATCAGTTTGGGGATTCTAAGAAATCGAGAAAAAACGGATCCAAAACCAAAAACCACCTAAACATACCTAAACCATCATTGCAGTTTCAAGTCCTTGCAGGCCCCAAGGATCATTCTTGGGCCTTGTTTTTTTCAGGGCATCTAAACATCGAGCTCTGGACCGATGCAAAAGTGGGAAGCAATCGGTGGAAAATCTCACAAAATGGTTGGCCAACTCCTGCCATGGGCGCGGCGAGAACGAACTGAACTCCATCAGACTGGATGCTTTCGGTGAAGCGCTTTCGGCACTCCGAGCTCGTTATGAACGTTCACACGTCTCAGCTGGGAACATGGTCCCTCCCACATGTCCATCTTAGCCGTGCCAAACACACAAGATGTTGAAGCATGTTGAAACCAAAAACCGATGTCTCACAGACTGTCTGGACCAAACACCCCGTTTCTGTCGACGGAGTCGAACGACCGACGGAGTCTCACGTCGTCACGGAGTCTCACGGCGCGTGGACCGAGTCGACTCGGCCCAGTGGCGCTCGTAGGATCCGCTTGCGTCCTGCGGTCCCGGTCGCGGTCCGGATGGAAAAAACATCCGAACACATCTGTGCCGGTCGCGTTAGGAGATGCGTCCGAGTTTCGATGTATTTATATTATACCAGGACCACTACCAGGACCCACAAGGGGTGGTTGAAGGACACCCCTTAACATCTATAAGGGGCTATCAATAGATGCCCCTTAGGGTGTCCTGGTAGAGGTCCCCCCCAAAAAATAGATAGTGCCACGGTGTCCAATACATTTGAATGCAGGGAGCTAGTCTTCTATCTTTGTTGGGGGTCTATACAAATGCCTTTAACCGAGCACCACCGCGCCCGTGTTTCTTTAGTCCATGAACCGCCTCGGTAGCCAATAGACCCCATGATCCCATGACCCAGTGGTTTCCAACGTGCTTTTCACTCCATGGATTTGCAAACCGTTTCTTTTTCTGTCAAATGTGGTCCACGATGTGTGCTTCTTCAAGTCACTTTCCACATGTTTCTTCAGATGCCGAGGGAGTTGCCGCTTCGTTTCGTTCGTCAGGTCCACGGATGGTCCGGAACGAGGAGTCGAACCGGTGTTTCGTCGAGTATGTCGAGTCCGGTGTGGAGGTGGGTGGGAAATCGGATGAAATCGGTCGAAGCTCACGACATGTGATCATTGTATGTGTTTTCTGTGTGTGTGTGTTGCTTGGGACCTATCCACAAAAACATCATCCTCGCCAAAGCTTCACACATTTGCTTTCGTGGAAAGTCAGCAAGTTCCACCTTTGCATGATCTTTCTTCAATTGAACACACAAAACATTGCTCATGTGTTGAGTCTATGTGAGTCTGCACAAGATGTTCCTGCACAAGATGTTCCTGCACGGTACAAAACACCGATGAATGTTGTATCGAAATGAAGGGGCATGCGTGTTAGTATGGCAGGAGAACATCTGGATACTATATAATATATGAGTGTGTCAAAATTACAGGGGGGGACCTTGGTTGACCACCCCAAATAAACAAAAGACACGACCAGGGAATGTCAACCCTCATGTCCAACTTGAGAGGAGGGAGACACGAAAGGTAGGACAGCGGGAAGAGAAGAGAACGCGAGAGGCAGGAACAAAAATGCAATGTTCGACATGGTGATTTACCCCCTCGGAGGCGACCTTTCGTAAATATATGTTCATATGCACTTTAAATGTTCAAACATGTGCTCTCGAAATGTTCAAAAAGATTCTTAGGAAAAACCTGCCCCATGGCTCAGATCATCGGTGAGCATTGAATCGGAACATCATAGGATTTGAACTATCCTGAAACCATAAGAGGCTCACGAAGACGCTCCCCAGGAGAGAATTGACGTGCTTCACAAAACGTATCCCCTCGGGGAACACCTTTCGTGATTAGAATTTCATATTCACTCTTTCTAAATGTTCAAGAGGGTTTCAACTATCCTGAAATCATGAGAGGCTCACG